GCTGGTGGCCTTCCTGACTCAGATTCTCAAGTACTGGGATTAAAGGCATGTGACACTATGTTCTGATCTTCACACTCTATTAATGTACCCTTTTATGGTTTTGCATTTTTCCAAACTGTCTATATATCAATAAAAAATAGAATTCAGATGCTGAGTAAAGGCAGTCCCAGATGACAAACCAACTATGAATAAGCTACAAAATAGACCATTCCCAGGACAGAAAGCAAGAATTAATTAACTATTTTGGATCAAATATCAAAGTCATATAGATATTGGTGACCTCTATATAAATTTACATTTCAAGACACCAGTGACAGCAAATAGATACAAACTAGAGCTTAGGTCAGTCCCACTGTGTCTCATGAATTGGAGAACATGATTTGCAGAATGATAAGGCTTCATTTTGGAACAGGGAATTGACCTTATAAATCCACTCTGATCTTGAAATCTGAATGAAGAATGGTTGACTCCCCTTAGGGCCTCAGTTGATAAACGTGCTATGATCTTCAAAGCTACCAAGTCATGCCTGGGGGTTAATCTTTCTTCCTCTCCCCCAAAATAATCATATTTTCTGAACCTCAAATTGGGCCAGATGGCCTGATACATATTAGCATACTTTTATAAAGAAGATACTGTGAGAAATCAAGACTGCTATGGAAACAGACAACGAAGCCAGAAATAAAATTCCTATCACAGTCCTAATCTTAATTTACTTTTTAGAAGTACATATTCCCATTTATTGAAAAAATATCTTTGGTTTCTTCAATCTTGAACAACAACAACAACAAAAAATACTCCATCAGCCTTCATTCAAATAGGAACTTAGATTCCAGTATTAGAAAGCAAGATTGTGGTCTAACCTAGGGAAGCTACATTGGTCTGGAAAATTCTATACTTAGAATCAAGTTTCTTTTCAGCAGGAAAACCAAGAGGTACCTTTTGTCCATATCAAATGTCCCTTGCAGAATTCAGAATGACTTTTGGGTCAAGAAGATTTCCTGGAACAGGCCCTTTTATCACTGAATGACAGCCCATAACCATTCTAAACTGTATCAATAAAAAAAGACACAAAATATCCATTACACTCTGCATGGTGCACATGAGCCCATCACCATAGGAACACTTTTTAAAATGTAAACAAAATCTCTATGTATATTTCCACTCTACTTCATAATAACATTAATATGACAGATGCACCAATGCCCTGAAAATGAGAAATGGACAACCCCATTTTTGAGTCTGTTGAAAAGCAAGGTCCTGCTGTTATTATTTAAATTAGTTGAAAATCATTTCCCATTGATTACTAATGATATTTTATGAACTAGGACAATACTTGTGTTAACCCTATATTCTCCTTGGCTGTATCTTATTCATAGGTTGGGTTCTACTTAAATACATGCATGCTTAATGAAAGGGTTTTCTGTTTTGTTTTACAAAGCTTTAATGGTTCAATGTGAGACAAACTAGACAAGAAAAGTGAAAAAAGTGCTTGCAAAGTACTACATATAAAATAATTTTCCAGCACAGGTCAGAATACCATGACAACACTGATCTTCAACAAAGTAAAAAATAAAAACATTTACTTACCAACCTTCACTTGTATGTATTCAACTGGAGACAAAGGAGGTGTATTTCATTAATTTAATGCCTTCTCTTTATAAGTTTGTAGAATAATGAGCTTCAAAATACATCCTATTAATCCAGTTTAGTTTATATTTTAAAATTCTCAAACTCCTGCTTTTTCAGTTAATGTTACAATGATTACAAATATTATGCTGTTGTTACTTAAAGAAAATACCTAACCTTTACAGATTATGTTACCATCTCAATGGGGTATTTATTTAAATCAAAATAGTCTTATCAACTCCATGGTAGAATTTGGGTACTAAAAAGGACAAAATAAAAATGTACCCTAACATTCCAATTTTTATTTTTCAAATGAAGTAAAGAAACAATGAAATCTAAGAATCAAATGATAGTCTGTCCATAGTTCTCATGATCCCCTGAGTCAGCTATCACTCCTCTGGCACCCTCTCCCTATCACAGAAATGAAAAGAATATCTGTCCTTCCTTTCTTCCCCACAACCATTACACATCACTGCTTCCTTTCCAAGAACTTACAAGAAATAATAGTGTGTTCACCTGTGAAAGGATCCTGATTAAGGTGACATTCAGACAGTGTGATCTAGTTAATGTCATCTGAAAAGGACCTCTGATCCCAAGCATCTTGATCTTGAATGGGATCACTTCTCTTTTTCTTCCCCATAGTGTGAACCTGTATAGATTTCAAACCTGTATAGTGGCATCTAAGAAAATAGTTTCCTAAGTCAGTTTACACAGCAGCATTCTCCTGGGTAGGAAATATTCACAAAGGTTCTAAAGTACTTTGCATAACTTGAATTTGGGACTCACTGTCAATTCACAGCTTAGCTGAATAGCTGACTTCCACAGAAGAGCTACATGTAGAAATCCCCACCCCCCAAGGCAACGGGGCCTAAAAGCTTTCCTCTCAAGGTAGAATTGATCCATGCACCTTAAGATAAATGCATCTTGAATGGAGGAAAACACACTTTGAATAGCGGTCTAATATTTGGTTTGAAAGAACATAACTGACAGTTCAATCAGTTTCCAAAACAAACAAACAAACAAACCTCTCTGTGAGATAAAGGAAACTTCAGGATTCTTAATTATCTGTAGTTTACAAAGTCTCAAAATTATTATTAAATATGTTTCCCTCTTTGTCACAGACAAAGCATTGCTGTTACTTCTGCAAAATACTCAATGGATGCTCTATGTTAGAGAAGCAGCGTTAATTGATTTAGAAAATATATCAATGCATATTAATGCATAGAAAACATGCATTAAACTCAACATTTCAAAGTTTCCAAGCTTCCTTTGTTTTCTCAAATCCTATGGTTTCACATGCTTTCCTGATCATAAAAAAAAAAAAATGAGGTATGGACATGTTTAAGTGATTTTGCAAAGGGATTGTGACCATGCATGTCAAAGGATCATTACATTTTGCTCTAATACAATGTATTAGAATCAGAATGTCATTTCTGGAATCCTGATCACAAAGTGACACCATGTCTCTCAATCACCTCCGCTGCTTGCTGTCTTTCCTTCTCCTTGTGGAGTTCCAGCAAAATGCTTCCCTATGAGTGCAGACAAAAGACAGGGAGAGAGGAATTGATTGACTAGAATTCTTTTCACTTCAAATACCATTAAAGGAGAGGTAGACAATATCCAATGGTTTCCTGCGCCAAAAGTATTTGAGAAAACCAATGATAAGGGTGGTGTAAGGTGTTTCTTTTGTTGTTTATTTTTGGTTTGTTGGTTTTTTCCAATTTGTCAAGTTTGAATGAAATGCAGAATGAAATGGTGGGTACAGGATTTTCCCATAAGTTTCAGGGCAACTTTGGTAAAGAAGATTGTGTTTTGTTTTGTCTGGATATATATATATATATATATATATATATATATATATATATATATAACACACACCCACACAACACACACACACTGTGCAAGGCTCATCACTTGGTGCTCCAGCAAATTCAAGAATACCTCTTTTAAGTTAAATGGAAGTGTAGTACTCCAAAACCCCTAGTGATAGATGTGATATTGATTACAGTGGCAATGAGAAAACCAAATGTTCTAAAACCATTTCCCTCTAGCTCAGTGTTAGCAGAATGCTGTAGCATTTAAGGTGAACTCCCCATATTTTGTGTTTTGGGGTTTTTTGGCTGTTTATAGCTGCACACATACACACATACACAAAATGAACATAAATCTAGCATTTTGTTGCATATTTAATAAAAAAGACCTTAAGCCATAATTGCTGTAGCTGCTGGGTGCCTTAATTCTTCAAGAATTCTTTCTGTGCATGCAATAACTTTGGTTAATTTATTCTGGAATTAAAAGGCATAAGAGTATTTAAAATAGTATGGTTTCTGAAGCATCGTTGTATCAAACCAATTTCAAAAGATTCAGTTGTTGAGTTTACTTCATAGTCCCTTTGTAGATCAGTTGTTCAGATTTTAAAACAGGAATCGTGTGCTGTTCTCTGTGTGGTCATTAGTCTCACAAAAGGAAAAGAATGATAAAATAAGACTAAGAAACCATTCTTCCAATGATTGTCATTGAACTGATTGGTACATTAGTAAACATTCACAGTATGAAGTCTCTCTCGTTCTTCAGCATAGAAAGTAGTGCAAAAGAAAAAAAATTCCAGTCTTACAACCTGTGAACAAAACGTGTTACATTTCCTCCAGAATGTTAGGCATTTGCTATTATACCTCCCCAAAATTAATAATAAAATATAATCAATTTCTAAAGGCCCCTGCAGCCTTTTCAAAAGTTAATTTCCAGTTAAAAATAAACTTTAATTAAATCCAAGATTAAATTGTGACCTATATTCTATTAAATAATTTACTTTCTCTTTCTTTCTACACAGTAATTCTTACAATTTCTAAAAAAACAACTACAGAATCCAAAGACATAGGAGATGTTATTAAAACACTGATAAAAGACTGCTCAAATTCATCAGTTCTTACATAGTAAATACTTCAGAATGCCAACTTTTCCAATCACAGCACAATTCCCAACAATGTTGACAATTTACTTACACACCCGTGTGCACACACACTCTAACACACACACTCTAACACACACACACACTCTAACACACACACACACACACACACACTCCTCAGGACCATCTTTACTATTAACATCTTTTCCCATTATGTGCAAAATTCTTGCATTCTATTAAAAAATATAAAGATAAATCTGCTCTATTTAAGCCTCCCTCTTCTCCAAGATGTATCATTTATTTGATATGCAATACAAATTTAGTCACAATTATGCCGTGTATTACCATTAAACAGTGTACTACTGTATGCAGTGCAATCATTTGCATATTTCATTTTCATAACTGCACTCTCTATGCATGAATATATTTGGAGATGGGGGGAGCAGTGGCAGGTGGAGAAAGCGCTTCACACATCGGTCTCCACCGCTTTTGCGTTAGAACAGTTGTTTTTATCTGTCTCGCTATCATCCCCCTTTCCCTGACACTTCTCTTCCCTTCCACACAAAGATTCCTTGACCCCTTCTTCCATCTCTAGATACTCTGACTTGTCCCCTAGGGATGAAGAAGTTGAACTCCGAAATTTCTTGAGCAAATTAGAAGGGAGGTATGGGCAACTGACTGCATTTTGTGTCAGCTGGGTCTGTTCCTCATTTTCAGTCTCTCTGTGGTAGAAATAGTTAAAGTTAGACACAATCACCGGCACAGGCAAAGCAATGGTTAAGACACCCGCAATGGCACACAGGGACCCCACAATCTTTCCTCCCACTGTGATGGGCTTCATGTCCCCATAGCCCACAGTTGTCATGGTTACCACAGCCCACCAAAACGCATCCGGGATGCTTTGGAAATGGGTAGTGGGTTCATCTGCCTCTGCAAAATACACAGCACTGGAAAAGAGAATGACCCCAATGAAGAGGAAAAAGATCAGAAGGCCCAGTTCCCGCATGCTGGCTCTGAGGGTGTGGCCCAGGATCTGCAGGCCTTTGGAGTGTCTGGAGAGTTTGAAGATCCGGAATACTCGAACTAGACGAATGATCCTGAGGATGGCAAAGGACATGGCCTGCTGCTGCTGACCATTGCCACCTCCTTGCTGCTGGGCCAGATCAGTGCCCAGAGTGATGAAGTAAGGCAAAATGGAGACGATATCAATGATGTTCATGATGTTTTTGAAGAAGAGAGCTTGGCTGGGACAAGCAAAGCATCGAACCACGAACTCAAAGGAAAACCACACAATACACACTGTCTCCACGATGAAGAAAGGGTCATTGAATATTGTGTGCCCTGAGTTGTCCAGGTGGGGTGCCGATGTGTCATTCAACAACCTGCTGTGCCCACCTGCACTCAGGGCCATGATGAGATCCCTATCATCCCGGAACTCTGGCAAGGTTTCCAGGCAAAAAATGACAATGGAGATTAAGATGACCAGGACAGATACAATGGCTATGCCCCTGGCAGGGCTAGAACTCTCCGGATATTCAAAGAGAAGCCAAATCTGTTTTTTAAATTCGTTCTCTGGCAGAGCCCTGTCCTCCTCTTCTCTCACAAAGCCCTCATCCTCCCGGAACTTGAGCAGGGCTTCCTCTCCCAACTGATAGAACTTCACCTCCTCAGTGAAGATATCAAAGGGCACATTGACTGGCCTCTTCAGACGGCCTCCTGACTGGTAATAATATAAAATGGCGTCAAAGCTGGGTCGGTTCCTATCAAAAAAATACTCATTGCGCAAAGGGTCGAAGTACTGAGTCCTCTTCTCAGGGTCTCCCAGCAGAGTTTCTGGAAACTGGGCCAAAGTTTTCATTTGGGTTTCAAAGCGTAGACCGGACACATTTATCACCACACGTTCACAGCAGTCACTGTAGCGGACTGAACTGTAGCCACCACCACCTCCATCATCCTGTGGCAGCAGGTCTGTGTACGAACACCCATCCCCATGGTCATCTTCACTATAGTAAAACCTTCCCTCCTCTTCCTCCTCTTCTTCCTCCTCCTCGTCTTCCTCTTCCTCACTCAGCTCCCTCAGGATCTTCTCTTCAGAGCCACTGGGCATCAGGTCTGAGCAATGAGGAAAACTGCTCTGCCGATGGTGGAGTTTCTTCTTTTCAGTTCGCTGACGCCTCCTCCTCCGACTACCTCGGCTACCTTGAGGATCATGGGAGGAGTAGGCCCCACGCATCTGGTGGTGATGGTGGGGACCGCCACCAGAACCCCCAGTACCTTCCACAGCAGCCGTGGCAGCTGCCCCAGCAGCAGCTGCAGCTGCCCTGGAGTGAGCAAGTCTCTCCCGCTCACGGGCCCGGGCCTGGGCGGCATAACCATAAGGCATATGACTGTTGCACCCTGAGCTCTCTGCACTCACCATTGCAACCTCCATGGTGGTGGTTTTGGGAAATGGCTAGTTCCAGTTGTAAGAGAAGAAGAAAGAAAAATAGGGCAGCTTATTTTCTTACCAAATTAAGGTAAGTTTGGAAGCCTTAAGCAGATTGCCTGGAAGACTTAGGATATTTTCAGTACAACTTTGCATTTTCTGTTTTTAAATCAGCACACCCCATGCTCCTTCTTCTCAGAGATTCAGCGTTGCTTTCCAGAGCTTGGCTAGTCTAGACAACAGCCTAGTGCTCCTCAAACATAAGTCATGAAATGTTGCGGTCTCCCAAACACCTACGTGTTTTGGGGTAGATGTTCAAATCTGGAAGTATGTCTGGGATGCGCTGGGTGATGACGCTACAAGACTCAAAGGCAGCAAGTATCTGACAGCCAGAAGTTGTGCCTAGAAAATGAAATATAATTTTCTGCATGGAAATTGTCCAAAACCCAGTCCATCCAATTTAAATAAAATGCAAATAAGTCTTTAGTCTTAGCACTTGCCGTGTAGTGTTGGCTTGACCCATGTTAAGATGTGCCTTAGAATATGTCCAACCATTGCTGCTCAGTCTATGAGGAAGATTTCCCAGGCTCTCTCTAAGATCATCAAAGGCTTCATGGACCCACAGACAACGCCAAGTGGTAGATAGAGGCAAAGACCTTGGAAGGCAGAGAGGGTGGAAGATGAGGCTCCAGCAGAGGCAAATCCAGCTCTGAGGTCTCCATAGAAATCAGGAAATGAAGAACATTCTTTGGCTAACTCATTCAGAAGAAGCACTTCACCTGAGGAGGGGTGGGAAACAAGCACAGGAGAAAAATAAAAAGAAGCAAAGCATAGAGAGCAAACAGCCCTATACTCTACACGCACGGCTTCTCTTGTCCTCAGGCCAATTGGGAGGCACACACCAGGAGACCATAACTTTTCAAGAGCACAGGGCAGGCTGCTCTAAAATCTCTCCCACTCAACATCCATCTTGCTTTCTTCTTTGTTTATTAGTTCAGCTCCGTCTATTTTTTTTTTTTGTGGCAACTCATTTGCTTCTGTCCATTCTCAACCCACATGGTTCTTGCTTTTCTCTGCCCCTTCACCAATGCCAGGTTTTAATTCTCACTAGCATCCTCTTCATTCCACAACAGCAATGCTGTGAGTTTACAGCTGTTTCCATTATTCATTTATCTCAAGGAATTCTCTTTCAATTTTTTCACTCATAAAATGTTGCTGAATTAAGCACCCTTAAAAAAACAATTTTCTTCAGTTTAGATTCAAACTACTTGAATGAACATCAGTTACCTCATCTATAAAGTGTAAACAAGAGAATCCATTCCCTCCACTCCACCTTTGGAAGGACCAACTGAGATCATGGATGCTATTAGGATAGCACACTATCTTGCATATAATGAATGGCAATGAATATGACAGTTATGGATAACACAGCATTAAACTGTATTGTCACCTATCCACCCACTCCCAAAATTCACATTCTTTGTCACTGTCTGAAGTGGGGAAGGACAGAACTTGAACACATCCAAGGTACTACTACGACAGTCACCAATGCCTGTAAGAATCTGCATCTCACATTCTCTGAGTCCATGAAACATTCCCCTGTTGTTTGTTTCTCTACTCCAGCTTCCTGAACACTCCCTACCACCCACGTCCTAGACGCAAACCCCAGTTCCCACATTGCTTAGTAACTATCTCCTCTCCTTGAAACCTCCATGTTCACCTGCTATACTCCTCTGAAATATGTGGATCTTGCCCTTGAAGTACACACTTTACCCCCTTTTAATTTAATCCTGCTCTCTCATTCTCCAATTCACCCCACAATTTTTTGGCAGACCCCAATCTGTCCTGCCATCACCTCCTGGCCCTCTTTTCTTTTCTCTCCTAAATCCATTGGATTCATCTCCTCAGCCAGGACTTCGGAAATCTTCTGCCCCTAACTTGTCTCCTCCTGCTTCTTCCGAGAAGTCTTCTAAGAATACAGGAAATGACCCAAAGAATGGGAAAGGATGGTAACAGGTAGAATTCAGGACATCCTCTAGCTTCTATTACTGGAAACACTTGGACAGCATGAGAGCATTGGCTTTCTGAAGCCATTAACAAGATCCCACCCTTGAGCACCTGCTGCTCTTTGCTGTTGGTGTCAGTCCCATAACTTAAATGACAATCAGGGAAATGGCAAACAGAGGGTATCTCACATGCATATATCCTTGATTAGACAAAAAAAAAAGAAAGAAAATACACCTCAGCAGTTATCCCTGGTGACATCCCCTCCTCTGTCTTACATTCAGATGTGTTTACCATGGAGAAGTCTCCACACCTTTCTTATAAAACTGTCCTATAGCTACATTCACTGTGGCATGTCAGCCAACATTTGGCATAGTCCAAATAGCCTGAGAATTTGTTCAACTTCTCAACACCCACAAACAGCTTGCATAGATATCACTTAAGTAAGTCCTGAGTAACTGACATGCTCAAATATTTACAAATATGCAGATGCCTCTCCTACCCAAAAGTCATGAATTAGAGGGTCTTACAGATCACTGTTAATTCTACTAGCCCTAGAACTACCTTCTTTCTGCCCCACAGCAAATGCTTCCTTATTCATTTATTTATTTAGGCTTGTTAATTACCATTTTTCTAATTCACTCTTACACATTCCAAAAGCAAACTGTGTTTCTTTTAATTGTCTCCTAGTTGCTTCACTCTGCTAGAGTGACAGAAAGAAGGAAAGGGAGAAGGGAGGGATGGAGAGGAGGAGGGAGGAGTGGTGAAAGGGGAGATGAAAGAAAGAAAGAAAGAAAGAAAGAAAGAAAGAAAGAAAGAAAGATGGAAATGAAGAAAGAAAGGAAGGGAAAGGAAGGAAGGAAAGAAAGAAAGATGGAAAGAAAGAAAGAAAAAAGGATAAATCCACGAAACCATTTTTCCCCAACAAATCCAACTGTTTAAACATCTCTCTTTCTCCAGGTATTCTTAGGAGAATGAAACATACTTTATGCAAGAGACCTTTTCAGGGTTTCCTCCCTCCTTTCCTAGCACCAATAAACTAATAGGATTTTTGCAAGGCACCTATTCCTGTCTCTATGTTCCCAAACACCAGCCAAGCATCCCTCTTCTCCTCTTATCCAACAAGAGCAAGACTGTTTTCCTCTCTAGATGCTTGTTTCTGCTACTGTGTTAGGGTGGTACCTGAACCAAATCTGAGAGAAGGGCAGAAAGAAAGGCTACAAAATTAACAATTAAAAAGGTGATAAAATCAGAAAAGTCAACACCATAAGAAACACATCCTTCAACGCACACCATTTATCCAGTCCCTGTGGACTGCTCAAACACTGAAAATGCATGCCATACTAATGTTGGGAGAGGCAGCAATACAGACCCGCTCATCAGCTGTTCGCAAAGGAGAGGAACGGTGAGGCTGGGATCAGGCAAAATGAAAACGATGCTGAATCTAAACCCCACCTCATTGGGGAACGACATCTTTAATTGAGCTCTGGCCTCCAGACCTGGGTTCCCGCTCGGGCACATTAAGCAGAGCGCACTCGCCCCATCCCCTGGGTTGCCCCCCGGAGCGCAGCGTTGCATCTGCACCTCCCTTCTCCCACCTCCTGGTTTATTTTTAACCGCCTTCCATTCATGTCCTTCTGTCACATTCTCGATATTATTTATTCCTCAAATGTCCACAGTTTCTCAGCAGCCAAAAGAGGGTGGAGGAAAGATAAGAAATGTATCATACTTACCGTTCCCAGCAAGTGAGAAAAATAAAAACAGAGAAAATTCCCCTGGTGATTTGTTTTCCCCCTTCAAGCTGCAACAGCTGGAGGAGGGGCAGAATCATGGGGGTGGGGGAGCAGTACAAGAAATCACTCGGATTTGGCAGGTGGAGGCTCCCAAATATCCACGGAACAAGTTCTGTCGCCTTGGCCAGGGGTGGGGAGTGGGGGGTGTCACAGAGTCCTCGTTACTGGAGACCAGAGGTGGGGATTAGGGACGCTCCAAGGTAGACCCTGGAGATTCCTGGTTCCTCTGGAGTTCAGCAGAGCAGACCTACGCTGGGAACGGCAGTCAAGGTTCCCCCGAAAAAGACTCAAAATCCTAGACAGCAGCGATCACTTGTTAAGCCTGGATTCCTTCTCCAGTATCCATCCCAGTCTTGCTCTCTAGCTGGCTGCAGGAGCAGCACACGCCTCCCCTGGCTGCCAGAGCGCACGGGCGGGGGCGGGGCCAGGCCAGGCCGAGGGTGTGGCCTTTGAGGCTGTCACCCTGGGCGCCTCCCCGCGTGGCTGGGCGGGCACAGTCACGACGCTGCGACCCCACCCGTCGGCCCAGCCCCCACGACTGCTTAGCTCCTGGAAACCGTCCCAGGAACACTTGACTATCCCCAAGCGAGGAGCAAATCCCGGAGACAGATGTGTCCCGCAGGAGCTGGAATAGAAGTCCAGGACCACAGCACAGGTGCCACTAGAGAAACTGGGAGAGGGACTTCGATGGGAGATGCAGTCCAGAAAATTGGGGCGGCTTGGGGCGGCTTCCCTCCCTACCCTTATCTTTCTTCATCTGCCCTGGCACCGGTCCTCTGTTTCCTGCCAGAATGTGCAGAAGTAGGGCTCAGGTGCATCTCTGGGGAGACTGCAGGTCCAGGAACCCTTGTTTCCCCTGTGAGTACATCCCAGCCATAGTTGCAGTCTTCCTAGAACACCAGAGTCTGCAGCCTCAGCTCCTGGGTCCAGTCTCCCAGGCTCAGAGAAAGATCAACTTTACTCATAAATTAGACCGTATATTAAAGAGTGAGTGTTCGAATCTGGAAAGTCACCCTGGAGGAAGGTTACTGTGCACCAGGGGCTTAAATCGCAACAGGAGGGAGGTTTGAGTATTTTGAACAAATTACAAAATGGCCTAGGCTGGAGGCTTTGGAAGGCTGAGGTGACCCCTCTGTGGAAGTGTTGCTGTGAAAATATCTGAGTCTTAACCAGAGGCTCCATGCAGGGGTGTTGGGGAGACTTTACATT